CCAAATACGAGCAACTTTTCGACAACGGTATCGGAAGGAACAATTGTCAAAAGAGTATTCTCCGTTCGGGTCTCATTAAACATTCGTTCGTAATAGGTGCAGCGAAGCTTAAGACACTAGTAGATCTTGCCAATGATGGATTTGGGGGCTTTGCACGCCTTTTCATAAGGATTTAAACATCTGTTACCTGTTGTATACCCAATTTTAGTCGACTCGATCTTCGTGCGTCCGCCATCTTGGTTATTCTACTTACAGAAGTCTCCGCGAGTCCGGTACCAAACGAATTCGCGTTTACCAAGAGCACCCTCGATCACGCGTTGCTAACCCGAAAATTGAAGTTGATCGAGCACGCGAATGCCTGACAATCCCGAGCCTCAAGAAGAAACAAATTGCGTTCATCGAAGGCGAAGCCCGGCCACGCTAACCTCAAAACCCAGGCCGATCGAGTTGAAAGGGTTCACGGACCCAGCCAGGGGCGAGCCAGCGGGAAGGGGCCATCGCGAGTACGATTTTCACGTGAATCAAAGCACGGATTCAAGACGTCCGTGGCGTTTCGGGCCAGTGATAAATCGCGAGACTGTCACGATCGCGGCGGCCATATCAGCAGCGATATTCAGTAGCCTCTGACGGCTGGTTCCCCAATTTAAGAGGTATTCAAGGCGACACAAAGAGGTCCGGTGGCTCATATGTCATCGTGGCAACTCTATGGTCCACGCTCGGCTTTGTCGAGCAGCTCCCGACGATAGATCCGCGGCCATTTATGCCGCGCTCCTTCCTCCTTATTTTTTTTGTTTTCTTCACGCCTGTTGCCCCTCGCCGCCGTCACGCCACCGACGAGCTGCCCCGCGAATGCTAATTGATGTTAGTGACTTCGAGTGACCCGGCCCTCGTGTGTGGTCCTCGTCCACGCTCGCCTTTTATCGGGAGCTTCCCCGTCGAGAAAACTAGGCCATTTGCAACATTCGCTGGTACTGCAAAATCGAACTGACTCTCTTCGATATATACTACAGTCCTTGGTCTTGAAAATCCATTCGAGAATTGCCGAAGAATAGTCGAATTCAAGGTTTTGTAGCTTTATTGATACGAACAGGCGATAGTAATTTTTTGTTGGTAGCATCGAAAAGTACGATCCTTAAAAAATAAGCGAAACGCCATTAAAAAAGCATGATTTTTGGCAAAGTTGCAGTTGAAATCTCCGAAGTTTCAGTGATTTTCAGAGAAAAGATTCGTCAACTGTCGTGTTCGAGTCAATAATATACCAATATACATAACCGAGCTCTATACTCGATATCCCGAACCAGTTCGCGTCAGTCAGACTCTTCGAGCAGCCAAATGAAGTTGATTCTCGGTTCTCCACGGCCTCGAAGAGGCGTACACGGGATCACGATGATCTTACCGTGACCGTGGACCGTGAATATCGGCGAATCGAGGGCCGAAATTTCCGTGGATAACGACGTGGCCAGAAAAAACGAGTACGCAACGCGCGGACACGCGCTGTTCCGATTCACCCTGGCCAGGCAGTCGAACCGAAGATTACAGATCTCCCCGGTAGAATTAATACCAAAGATCGAAGAAAAGAACGGGTGGGTAGGGACGGGGAGGGGGGAGGGGCGGCGTCTTGTAGGAAATGGCAGCTGTTGGAGAAACGCTACCAAAAGCTCGGGAGCTAGCCGTCGTCTATGCGCGAGGCGTGCTATTATTTTTTTACGACCCAGAGGAACAGTAAATCGCGTCTAATTCGACGTTTAGCGATTTAAACGTTTGTCTGTGATCACCAGGAGACGCATCTATAATCTGCGCTCCGGTTGTTCGGACATGCAACTTACCAAAACGCAGCTGCTCCGAAGGGAAGAGACCCATCGAGCTCCTTCGTTCGTCCTTTTTTCTTCTATGGGAGCCCTGTTTACCTCGGACGGTGTCGATCGACGATCCTTTCATCGATCGCGAGATTTGGACAAGTCGTAAGAAAAATTGCAGGGTACACGCTTCTTTACGAGGGTCAGAACAGACCCTCCATCGCCAGTAAAGTATTAACCCCTTGCCATGCAATGACTCGTCGCAAGTTCTTGATGTCAAGTTTCACCATTACGAGGCTACTCGTCATCTACTCTTTGTCGTGACCATTTCTTGTACGCGCAGACGAAATTAAACAGTATGCGTTTGAAAAATTACATTAAAATCGTACGTCAAGGGGTTAACGAAACAAGACCATCACCTCCACCAACGAAACTCGCGTTCCGCTGATCTCGATGGCGCCGAGAAGACACCCGAAAATCTCAAGATCCGTGCTCCAGTTCCGGGGAGGAGGGGGAGTCTGGGCAGGCGTTCTCACGAGAGAAAAAATCCGCGGGGCCCGAGCGAGGCGGGGGTCCCGTGAGAGAGTGCGGTAACTTTTGGTCCCGGCGTTTCGAGGCGTTTCGTGCACTATGGTGGCGCGGAACCTCGAGTTCCTGGGGACCGGGGCTGGCGTGATATCCTTTTTCGAGCAACGACCACCTCGACCGCTATCACCTGCGCCCTCCCCGTCGCTGGTGAGCGCGATCTCCTCTCTCGCCCTTCGTTTTTTCGCGCGTTTCGCTCGGTCGGACGGGGCCGTGATTACCGCGAGGGGAGCGTTCTAAGCTGCTGACCGTGGAGGTGGTGGTAGTTGGCGTTGGTCGTTGCCCAGCGCGAAGGAACCAAGCCACACGAAACGCGAACGTAGGAGCGAGAGAGCGGAAAAAATGAAGTCAACTGAGGAGGTAGGGGTAGGAGGTGGCCGTCCAGGCGGAGGGACGGGGGTGTACGAGAGAGCAGAGGTTACTTTTAATGTCTCGCGTCACGCAGCCCAAGGCACCGTGAGCCTCGCCTCGTCCTCCTTACTAATTTGGCGCCAATTTCCAAGCAACCTCCCAAGCAAAAACTAACCGGACCATACACGCCGGGACCCCCCTATACATACGTACACTTGCGCGCCGTGTGCACTTCAACCGGTGGGCTCTGATTAAATGCTACCCGCCGTCGCTCGCCTTCTTCCCCTTCCCGGCCTCTACCGGTCGCTTCCTCGTCTTCTGCGGTTCGTTTTTCTCGTTTTCCTTTGCTCCTTTCGTCGCTCTCCGCGCCGTTTCTCTCGTCTTTCGACCTGTGTTCCCACACTCCATGGACGCGTACCGCACGAAAGACGATCGCATCCCCGTCGCCGGATCCGCACGCACAACTGCTTCTGCGTGCAAACTCCCGGGAACCCGAACCGCCCGCTACGTTTCCATTTTTCTCCTCAAGGTCGGTGCCGGAACGATCTCGCCATTTTCGGATAGTTACTGTCACCAGGAACGCGTTAAATATCGATTCGATACGCGGTGCATTGAAATTGAGGAACCGCTATGAAAGTTTGACGATATTTGAACGGCTGTAACTTTGTCAAAAGTAATCGTACGCAGTTGTATCTACGTTTTTTGTAAGGCCAAAGCCTCCCCTTTACAATGACCTCTTAAAAGTTGGTGTACGACCTTTTGTTGTCAAGTTATTGCACTTTGAGTGAAAACCTGCGACACTTCTCTTTCAGTTATTAGTAAAGAATTTTTTTCTCGAAAGTGCATAGGATTTCGGGGGTATGTCTATTCACCAAAAATGATTGTAATTGATCCTCAGAAATAGAAATAATTTTTTCAGAACAATTTGAAAATATTTTTTTTCCTCCAGGCTTCAAAACTCGAGGGTTGAACGGATCTAGGCCCGAATCCTTCGGCCATTTTGGGACTTCCTAGTTTATTTTGCGTATCCTCCATTGAAAATGTCCTCCGTAAACGAAAATGAGGAGGGGAAAGGGTGATTCCCACGCGGGTCGCACTGAAGGCGGCAGCCAGTCGCGAGGACGTCGATAGGATCGGTCGTACGGCGTTGGGTTATGCAAATATAAGTCTCAGCGGGCGTCAATTTAATGGCGAGGCTGCAGGTTCGGGCATCGCGAACCGCGCGGGCCACGCATCTTTGAGAATGGTCGGTAGTGATGGACATTCGATTCTCTCTTGCGAGCTTTCGAGCAATTTAAATAAAATTCACGCAACGGAGGATGAATTTGCAGAACGTGGAGGATCCTCCAGATTCCCATTATTCTTCTTCTTTAGTAAAATAGGCACCATACAGAGTTGTTGACAAATCAATACTACACAGTGAGTTTACAACTTGTGTCCACAACAACGTTCGTAAATATAGCGTTAAGTAGCAGGTTGCAGTCCATTATTAGCAACGAAGTATTCGAATCTCTCGAGATCGATCAATTTGGGGGTCGTAGGAGCACTTAAGGCTCTTGAGACTCAATTTTCTGACCCGTTGGGACGTTCGAGGACGACACGGAGCGTCTTGAGTCCGTCACTGGCGGTCAACCAGACGCTTTGGTAGTCAGCCGGGGACCAGGTCGTCGAACAGAGGGAGTAACGGGGGAGAAAGAGGTCGGTAGGCATCCACGGGCAGTATATCACGTCGCAAGGATAAGTTTTTGATCGGCCCTCGCTATACGGATGACTCCCTGCTGCTTGACCTCATCACGCCACGCTATGGGGGTCTTTATAAACCACCATCGACTGCGCGTATCCTAATCACCTTTTGTCTTAAGCCTGCCAAACTATTCTTCCGAGGTCGGTCTGCTTGGTTCCTGGCTGAAGATCCGAGCCACCCGGTTGCTCTTTCGTCACCATCCTATAAAAGTAGCCAATAAGGGTCAGCAGGAATAGGTGGTAACAAAACAATTCAATTTCAACTTTAATAACTTTTATTTGCACTCCTACAATTCCATCGTAGGAAAATATCTAGAACTAGTATCGACCACTTCGTTCGTATTATTAATTTTATAATTTTACTTGGAAACTTAAAGATGCTAATAGAAACACCCCTATATGCGTACTACCATAATTGTAAACCAGACCGTAGACAAATGTCACGGAGAACAGAATCTTCAATTGTTCCTAGCCTGAAATCTCACGCCACTTTCGAGGTTACTGTAATTCCAAAGCTGAATAACAATGCTCGAGGGCCCATGGGAGCCCAGCTGGATCTGCGGAAGCAAGATCGAGGAGATCGTCTGCATCGGCAAGGACGTCCTCGCGTGGTGTACAGGCGTGCACATCGTGTTCTTCAACGTCCCCCTGTGCAAACAGAGCCTCCGTTGGTGCTGGAACCACGAATCGGGGGAGGGTGCCCACTGTCTATCGGGTCACTCCAGCCTGTCGGTCTTCTGCTTTGCGGAGAAGATCGCCCATCCCAGAATACTGGTCTACTCCTATCCTTCGATGACGAAGATCTCCGAGTGCAGCGGCGGCTGTCGAACCGGATACCTAACCACGGAGTTCACGGCTCGAGATCATCTAGTCTCCCTGGGTCTGTACCCCCAGTTTCCGCTAACCGTTTGGTGCTGGAGGACAGGAGAGGAGCTCGTCTCGGTGAGCACGTCCATTCGTGACGACGTTGGCCAGATCCTTCGCGTCACCCAGCTGGGACCGATAGTCGTCGCGCAGATGGGCAGAACCTGCGGAAGATTGTTCACGTGGGAGCTCGACGTGGCGGGGAAGGTCGTGACTTTGAAAGGTAAGAGACTTTGGGGGTCTCCCAGAGGCGTCCCAGCTGTAACTGGACTTCAAAACTTGGATTCCCAGATCACGAGGTGAAGCTTCCAAAAGGGGAGTCGATCATGTGGGTGGACTGGTCTCCGACCTCCAATGATCCCCTGCTCGCGATCACGGACCAAGATGGCCACATCTTCCTGAGTAATTACGACGGTAGCAATGTCTATCGCATAGTGTTGTCCCAACGGTGCGGAGTGTGTCTGGACATAGAGCTGCCGATGGTCCGTTGGTTTCGCGAGGGTATCGTGTTGCGTACCACCTTTTGTCAGATCCGTTACTTCAAGTGGAACGCAAGAACCGACAGGTGGCAGAGGGAGTGGTACGTCAAGTCGACTACAAAGCCGTGCTTCCTGGTGACCCACCCCTTCAGGAACGAGTGGCTCTTCTATCACACGCTGGAGGGCTACTTGATGAAGATCGATTTCTCGAAGGAAACCAATGTTCCCGCGATCGAGAAGTATCTGGAGTACGGCGCCGTCTATCGGTTCGTCGACTTCGTGTACCCTTGGTGCCATCATCTCGTGGTCACCGACAATCCGAAAGAACTGGTGGTTCTGGAGAGTTACAACGGGACCCCCGTGTCGATGATCGATCCAGAGATCGAGGGCGACATCAGTTGTCAAGCCTCTCATCCCGATTACCCGGTGACCGTTCTGGGGACCTCGCAGGGCGAATTGGTCTTCGTCAGCGTCGCTGACCCTTACGAACCGAGGATCGCTGCTCGCTTGAGGCTGCAGAGGGCCCCTCTGGATTTGATCAAGTTCTCGCACAGTGGCAGGTACGGGGCTCTGCGTTAGTTAAATCGCAATTCCATCCTCTATTGTTCTCCCCAGATCCCTGGTAGCCGCCGAGAAGAGCACCGGTAACAGCTATTGCGTCAACTTGCAACGCGACAAAATGTGCAACGTGCAGGCTCTGATCCAGCCCCGTCGAGAGATCAGTGACGCTTTGATCTACGAGGGACGCAAAAGGCTGAACGTGCTGCTGCTCCATGTCGGGGCGAAGCCGTACGCCGTGGGTCAGCAGTTGCTCCTGTTCATCGTGCCAGAGGATCGAAACCTGGTCACCGACACCACCGCCATTTTGGATTTGCCTGGTGTCTACCGTACTCTGTGGCAGGTCCCCTCGAATCCCATGATACTCGTAGGATCGCCCTATACGACGAGGCAGTTGCGACTGCAGATCATTCAGGACTTCAAGGACGTGGTCGCGGTGGATGGCATGGAGACGGGACACCACGTCAAACTGGCCAATATCTTCGTCGATAGACACTGGATAACCACCACAGCCTTCGACGGGCTGGTCATCGTCAGAGACAAGGGCGTCCAACGAATATTGACGCATTTTATGACGCACCACAGGGCAGACTTTGGCAGCGTCAAGGCGATGGTGAATAGATCCGGGAATCTGGTTGTCTGTTTGGGGTACAATGGCTCCCTGGTCGCAATGAGATCCGTTCATAACCATAAAAAGGTTCGTCTCTTTCTGTTATTGCGTTGCAGTGTGTGGCGTCACCTCCAGTACTCGCCATGAGAGGGCTACGCTCTTGTGTCTCTGGCAAGCGCTCGACTCATCCCTCCGTTCCTATATATATCCAGTATTTCGTCGTCTAAGGCAGGGGCTGCATCCCGAAATCGAATTCACTTAACTTTTTTTTGCCTCCTTTCATTAGCGTAGGAGAATCCACAGTCGCCCGATGCCCACGACGCGAAAACCATCCATCGAGTGGACTACACTTTCTACGAGAAGCAGAAGAAAAAGATACTCTCCGACTACGCTAGCTTGGATCCCGCGATCAAAAATCTGTTCGCACAATCGAGGATCGAGGTCCCCGGACCCGAGGAGGGCGACAAGACTTGGACGGAATGGAGGGACGAGATGCAGACGAAAGAGGAGGAGATCCAGTGCCGGGAGAAGAGGGCAGCTATTCTGAGAGACTTCGAGGTCCTGAAGGCCAAAGTGAAGAAGCTGCTGGACGCCAACGAGACCTGTCCAGAGCTCGAGAGGCTCCCCGTCTCGGCTTTCGATCTGGACATAGCCGGCCGCGATCACAAATTGAAGGCTGGTCGCGACGAGTGTGAGAACATTCGCATGGAAATCGAGCACAACTGCAACGAGATGAGAAAGGTGACCAATTGGATACGAAAGAATTTCTGGGATCCCCAGGTGGTCGTTGGGAAGTCCCTGGTCTCCATCTATGGTACCAAGCAAGTGACCAATTATCCTTCGGTGGCCGAGGACCCTCTGGACAAGGACCGCTTAAAGTGGGCGCATTTCTGCAAGGAGGCTGTCCAGAGAATCATGCAAGGCGAGACTTTTGAACCTTGGCAGGTGTATACCGAGGACGAACTGCAGGTGGAATTGAACAAAAGATTGACGCTGTATCGGGAGGAGGATCTGAGGATCGATTTGTTGCTCGACGACGAGGATGATACGGACGTCTCCGAGGAGGAACTGACGAGGCAGAGAGAATGGGAAGGTGAGGGAGTACTTGTTTACCTGGAAAGTCTGTTCAAACGCATTCTTCTCTGCTCAAAGGTACGATCGCCCACCAATTCATCGAGACGTCGCCCTGCTACTCCCAACTGGAGTCGTACGGTTACGATCACGTGACGATAAACAATCGTTTCCTGATGCGCGACTGCGAGGAGCTTCGAACCTACTTCAACAAATCCTTCGACGAGGTTTACGCGATGAAAGAGAGGGAGATGAACGTGATACAGGAGAGAATAGAGAAGATACGTCACATAAACTCAGAACTGAACGTCATGTTCAAACGATCCGTGCCTCACGTTCCTCCCAACCCCGAATGGCATTGGCAGGTTATTCTACATCGTCGATCCAAAGCGTTTAGAGTTTATTAAGGTTCTCTTCTGTGCGCAGGAGAGGCCGGAGAGCATCATCACGGTCCAGGATCACGAGGTCGACGTGAAACCCTACGTCTCGCCGTCACAGCAAGAGCTCCTGGACAAGCAGGCGGCTGAGGAAGAACGAATCAGACTGTTGATGCTGGCCGACGACTTCCGCGAACGCGCGCTAATGGCGATGATGGATGGCGTGCTGGAGATTCGATGGGAGGACACCATCAAGATAGACGTTCCTAAACCGGCCTGCATGCTCGAGAAAAATCCGAAGGACTACACCGCGGAGGACATAGAGACTGTGAAGCAGTACGAAAAGGATGTTCAGTTCCTTCAGGAGGAACGCGAACGCTACCACAGGATGCTCACCGTCGAGTACATCAAGGTCAAAGAACTCCTGCAGGAGGGAGTCGACAAGTTCAACGGAAAACTCGACGAATTGTTTCGCGTAGGTTCATTACTCTATCGTTCACAAAATTAAAATCCACGCGAACTCCACGTTTTCTATCTTCGGTTAACGAAATATCAATCGAAAGCAATGATCCCCATTATTAAAGTTTCCGCCGTCGAAACCAATAATTCTCAGCGATCCCACAGCTGAAGATGAACGTCGAGTCGGCCATAAATCAGATGCACCTACGATACGTTCGCGGCTGCTTGCGAAACTATTATCGAACGAAGGCCCTGCACCAGGAAGAGGAGGCGCATGAACGAATCGCGGAGAAACGGCGATACGAGGCTACCTTGAAGGCCCACGAGCAGACTTTTCAAACCGTTCGTCGAGAGCTCCTCGTTCAGCACGAGGCGCAGTGCAACCGGGAGAAAACGTTGCCCAGAAGGTTCAGGACCGAGCTGTCGATGTTGACCAAGCTGCAAACCGAGCTCATGGAGCGCCAGTACAATCGTCGACCGAGAACCAGCCTGCAAAATCTCGGATCGTACGATTTCCTGGACCTTGGTGGCCACGTGGTCGCTCGAACCAGACCAGTGTATCTGCCATCAGAGTGCACGGACTATCTGAGAGCCCTGGACCACCTGGACGTTCGACCAAGCGTCCTTCCGCCAACGATAGAGACCCACCACTGGGAGACGCTGGTCCGACTGCGTCGCCAGAAGATCAACGCGGAGCTGAAGCTCAGGGCGAAGAAGACCGAAATCATGGACGTCGAGAACATTATTTACGGGCTGAAGCTGAGGAACGACAAGTGCAGGGCCGATATAGACGAGGCGACGAGGAATTTGGAAGACATGAGGAAACGTCGGAGGATCTCCGAATTGGACGTCGAGGTTCAGCTGGTGCTGAAGATGGGGCAGGTCGAGATCGGTCTTACGGGGGACTTGAACGACACGGAGAACGCGATTCTGGTCTCACGGACCGAGATCGAGGACGTGAATAAGCTGATCCGGGCCGCTGGGGAGTGCAAAATAGATGCTTTGTCGCGTCTGTTGAACTTTAAAAGAGGTATGGTTCTTATCTTCCTAGGAACTTGAATGAAAGAAATATAAACAGTGGTGTCGAGTTAAAAATACTTATTATTTATTTATAACAGAGTCTCTGAGAGAAAGGACCTCTCGTTTATATGCTAACTATGCGATTTCCAGGTACGGCGATGAAGGAGTGGGAGCACGAGTGCGAGAAGAAGCGTATGGACGACTTGGAGGAGGACTTCCGGTTCCTGGGGTCGGTGGTGGTGACGAAGGAGATGCAGGAGTACCTGAAGAGGACGGCCAGAGGGTGGCCAGACGACAAGACCGCGGAACGGATGGACGAGGAGATCGAGGCGACGAAGCAGCGATTCGGTAAGATCATCGCGAGCCACAGGTCCCGGCTGCAGTCCATCGAGAACCAGATCGAGATCACCAGGAGCACGAACGAGGATCTCGATCGTCGGATCTTGGAGATGAACGTGGCGAGGTGCGAGATGGAGCAGCGTCGCGATCTTATCGGCGAGGCGAGGCAGCGGGAACACACAGAGTGGAAGATAAGGATGGTCATGAGGCGATCCCGTCTGATCAAGAAGGTGCAGGATAATTACGCGGAGATACTGATGCTGCAGACGGAGCACGAGCTGCTCAAGCTTCGTCGTTACCCGACCCTCCACTTCAAGACCTCGGACGACACGCACGACGAGGAGGATCGTCCGGCTCGGCGCCATTTTTGTCCCTGTTAATGAACCTAGGCGAGCTGTTTCCTCACGTGGGATTCTTTTATCGCCGATGATCGATTCAAGCGACTTCTTGCTTTAAGTGACGCGTTCGTTAAGACGTCCGAGATGGGCTGGGTTCGTTAAGATACGAGCAGCGTTAGAACTGGTTCTAGCGGTGTCCGGGGCCGACGAGACGAGCGGGCAAAGCGTGAAGCTGGAAACGATACTTATCATCGCGTCTCGCATTTTTATTGTTCCTCGTGTTCCTCCGCGGCGAGTTGGTTTAACGAGACTCGTCGCTTGGGAAACTTTTTCGATTTATCGTTTCTATGTTCTGAAAATTCTTTTTTATACTTATTACTTCCGTGTTGTTCAGAACGTTCGTGGATCGCAAAAGTAAAGTGAAATAAATGTAGTAATGGCGGTGAAACGTTATTCCGCAACCAGGTCGATGTAAATCGCAAAAGAAGTCGAATGCAGTAATTTCGATAATTACGCGGGAGCGTTTGATCGCGATAGAACTGCGCCATTTAGGGAATTTTGTAAACTCCCGCCGGTTCGAATTTGTTCAACGGCCCGGAGCGATAGATCCGCTGAATAGAAGTAGGAACGAAGTGCGCTGTTCGGTGAATTCCGGACGTGAATGCGTTTATATCGACGGGTCTTTATTAGCTGCAATTAAATTACCGCCGTTTCGATCGAAAGGACAAACTTCCGGCGGCCGAAGAGACTTATCAACCCTTTCCGTTCGCTCGAGCTAAATGGCGGGCGAGAACCGAAGCACCGTAGGAATTCCGATCGCCGCTTTTAAATTCATTTCTCGTATTTCATCTACGCAATCAGCGATCGACTGATTACCTTTCAGCCCTCTGGTTGGCATTCTGTCGGGGGAAAATTCATGAAAATCGTTCGAACGTTGCTGTAACCTAGTTCATACGTTTCACGTCTTTAACCCCGATTAAATATTCGTTTTAATTCAGCTTTCGAAGAGTTCCTCTTTTCGAACGATAATTCAAAGACTTACAAAATTTCAGATTGATGGTTCAGGTCACGGTTCGCGATTGGAAACTATTTCCCAACGTCGATGAACTATAAACGAGACGATTTCCAGTTTCCTGGAGCACCAAGCTCCGCCACCCCTCTCGTCGAAAAGATCTGAGCGTCGTTAAATTACGGACGTCGAAAGGATTTTAATCAGAGTCGCTTTGCTGGCTCTCACAAAGGACAAGCGGCAATTTGCAGCGGCGCATAAATCACACGGGGGCGCCGTGGTCCCGATACATAATAGGCGACAGCGATCTATACTCTTTTTCACCATAAATAACTGTACTAATAGTAGAGCAGGGAGATGAATGATGTCCACGGGAACGCGGGATTACCTTGTGATCGCCGCGAAACGCTCGAGTACGAATCAATTTCGGTCTGAGAAGTTCCCAGGTGGACCCGTTTCCGAGTCCCCGTCTTCAAAATCCAGAAAAAAAGAACTCCAGACTCACCCTGCGACGATTAGACGGACCTTTCGTACGCTTTGGCCCCCCTCGTTTCACTCTCGACTCATTTTTTACACGATTTGCAAATATCCATCGAACGATAAGTGTTTCACAAATTACATTAATTACCCCTTTGATCTTTGGTGTCATATCAACAGTTACCATTTCTGTTATATTAAGTCTGTCGAAACATCGAAGTTTATCTCGTGCTCTTGACCACTTTTTGCATAAATACAATGGCATCGAATCTGCGCCGATCGAAGGACCCAAATAAAAAAATAAGGGTCGAAACAGAGAGAAGAATAGGAACTGAACGACGCAATAATTAAATATCGCGTATAAATTCCGCGATAGTTGCAAAGTTAATTTTTCTAACGTAAAGATTTTACGGAAGAACTCGATCCCGAATTTCTGGGTTGGAGCGATATTTTTTTAAACGCTTTGTCCATCCGTTGCAGGAGCATCGGTAACGCGATATTCCGAGGTGGTTATTTTTCCCACCCCCGTTAAGAGGGAGGCGGGAAAGCGGCGGCGCGGAGGGGAGAAGACGCATTACCAGATTGGCTCGCGCCGCTCGCATTCACCAGTCTTTTACATTCATGAAGCTTTTATTCGGTTGATTTGACTATACGCTTCGTATTCACGGCTCTCGATTTGATTTGCATTGATTGGAGTGCCCGCTTCCCCGATAACCGGCCTGGCCTCGTGTTGTGGCACCGCTACGTCGTTATCCGGGCTAATTTCACTCGCGAAATCCGCTCGACTTCCGCCTAAATCGACGGTGCCGTCTTTGGAACGAAAGACACCCCCTTTACGATTTTTACCCTCTAGCAAGTTAAAAAGAAACACGAATCGTTCGTTCTTCGGTGCACAAACTTTATGAAATTAATATTTCATTACTACTCGATGATCATTGGATAGGCAGATCGAGTTTGGTACCAGAATTGTTGCATTTTTTTAAAACGAGGACAGTATTACCTCGATGTCAACGATGATTAATCGATCTCCGAGGTCACTACTGACGGCAACAGAAAGAGGAAACCGATGAATAACCTTTCAACCGCTATAATGTTTGGAGGGGTAGCCGCGAGAATCCCCGTCGTGCTCATTAATAAAAATCACACGATCGTTAGAGCGAAAATATTTACAGTGACCTCATGGGCTCCCATATTTTTCTCGATGGCAATTGTGTAACGATCGTGGAACACTGTGAAAAGAAACGATCGAGTAGTGACTCCGGAATCTCAAGTTCACCCGCTAGAAAAATAATCACGCTCTAAAGCTGCGTCCCCACTGGATCGGCACGGCTCGGCATTTGCCGATAGCTGCGTCCCCACTGGGTCGGCACGGCTCGGCATTTGCCGATCGGCACAGCGTTCGGCAAAAGGCGGCACGGCCGTGCCACTGCTATGCACCGCGGCAAAGCCATTTCAGTACACAAAAAATGTACAGTGACGACGAAGTAATAACTGGTGCTGCTGCAGTTATAGTAATAGCAAATGCAAAAAAAATGCCTAAAAAACGAAGATTTTGGATGCGTCCGAGTTTACGTAGCAGAAGAATATACAGGGTGTTCGGCCACCTCTAGCAAAAATTTTAATGAGCGATAGTAGAGGCCAAAATAAGACGAAAATCAAGAATACTAATTTGTTGATGGAAGCTTTGTTAAAAAGTTATTAACAATTAAATTCAAAAATTTCAAATCGTTCTGGAAAAATTATTTTCGGTTGCGGGGGTCAACTACAATCATTTTTGGTGAGTACACATACCTCCGAAATCCTATCTACTTTCGAGAAAAAAAATCGAGTAGGTGCTGAAATTTTTCGGCGAAAAAAAATTTTTCAAATCGTTCTAAAAAAATTATTTTCGGTTGCGGGGATCAATTACAATCATTTTTTATCATTACACATACCTCCAAAATCGTACGCACTTTCGAGAAAAAAATTCCTTACTGAAAATCCAATTAGGTGTCTAAATTTTTCAACGGAGAAAAAAAATTGCAAATCGTTGTGTATAGCCATAAAACAGCTGTCAAACACGCGCGGCCACTCGTCGCGTCCTAATCCGGAGTCCCGTTTTTTCTTCGATAAATTAACGTAGCCTTCGACTTGGGGAGAAAACCTCGGGCACCCTCGTTCTGGGGGTGACCTGGAAGTCTTCCTCCACCACGTTCAGGTATGAGGAAAGAGTTTTCCTCCCAAACGGGGTGTGAAAATGGGTCCTCCTTCCCTTAGTCGATGACCAATCGGTCGAGCTAAAAGTTAATACCAAATTCGGTTGACACCCCCAAAATCGCGTATCGGAGGAAGAAACGGGCTCCGGAAACATCGACTATGCAAAAATATGGGCACGAGGAAAAAATCTTTCGCCTATGACCATATTTGGTTACAAGACGGGGCTTTATGGCCCTGCCTGGGCCTTTCAGAACTGGAGGTAGCAATCGTCGCGCTGTGAAATTTTCCGTTCGATCGCGAAAGAATACCAATTTGTTGATGGAGGCTTTGTTAAAAAGTTATTAACGTTTAAAGTTCCTGTATCTTTGTATCTCGATGATGGTTTTGGAACGAAATTGACATGAAACTTTCGTGCTCTCGTGTCTTGGCACGATCTCTTTTGATGGTTACCGACATCGTGCCGATCGACTCGTCGGCATGCCGGTCGGCTTTTCAAGCCATGCTATCCAAGACGATGCAGTGTTTGGCTTTGCCGAGAAGTACTTAGGGTGCCGATCGGCCGTGCTAGATGACAGATGCGGACGCAGTGTAGACGCAATTCTCGGCTTTTGCCGATCGGCCGTGCCGAACGGCAAAAGCCGACCCAGTGGGGACGCGGCTTAACGTTTCACGTTTCTCACGAAGCCTGTAAACTATACTTTTTAAACTGATAACATCGCAGTCTCGAGTTTACTTCCGCAAAAAGTTTTGCTCCTCCGGTCACTGGGGAGGGGGTGCTTAGATCATCCACCCTCCGCTGAACACTATAATATATGCATCCCCAGAAAAACTATGCGAACTTCCTTCAGTCAAACGTCCTTACTGTCCAATCGCCGCGAGTCAGTACTCGGTACTTAGAGTCGGTTACTGTCAGTCTTCGTGCATTCCTTGTTTTCAGGACCACCTACCTTAAACATCGCTACCTAAAAATCTTCAGTTCAGTGGGATGTATATCGAAACTAACGATTTCCCTAGGAAAATTGAGCGATACTTTTTTAAAAATTAGAAATTCGTAAAAACAACGACTCTGAAGCAGAATTAGATTCCATCTTGCGCCATCTTTTGAAAAACCGTAGCCGGGTAGAGTCGAGCAATTCTCAAAAACGATTGCGGAGGCATGGCTGTCGGTGTACGTTCCGCGAGTTCTCCGGTTCGCAGTCACCGTGGTCCCGTATAAGGCGCAATAAAAATTCGACGCGATCGTCCACCGGGCGTCTCTCGTGGCCGGGTAAGAAAAACGGTCGACGCAGGGAGGACAAGGGAGGAAGGAACGCAGGCAACGGAGCCGACTTTACGACTCGCGCTACGCGAAAGGGCGAAA